TGAAGACATCATGGGTGATACCTTCATTCTGCATACGGCACAATATCAATTTGACAATCTCAGAACTACTCTGTCTGCAAGCCCAAGACAAAATTGTATTAAAAGAGACTGCATTAGGCAAGAATTGGCTCAAGAGCATCACAACCTTGTTTTCCCTACAAAACCCATTGATATTATATGACACATTGCTTGGAATGAAACCTACACGAGTCGTGATTTCTAACAAAGATAGTGCTTCTGCTGTTCTGTTCAGGATACATAAGCATTTGAGATAGATATTGAAAATAGGAACATCCATAGGATAGCCCTCCGAAATGGTATCCAGCAAAAATCTAACACAGCTACCAACTCTTCTTGATTTTAAAAGGCCTCCCCCCAGCACAGCTACGATGTAAGCATCAGGAGAGTATCCTTTAGAAACAATTATATCTAGGAGCACAGTAATGTCAAACACTCTATCCAGGCAAGAGAGTTCGCGAAGAATTATATTATAAACTAGCAAGTCCGGACTGCATCCTTCCACCTCCATCAAATTCGGATACCTCAATGCCTCTTCTAACCTCCCATTTACACAAAGGAACTTAACCAACACAGTATATGTAATGAGACTAGGCTTTAAACCGCTGTCTTGCATTTCATCAACAAACCACCAAACAGCTTTCCACAACTCTTATTTACAAAAGCCATAAACCAAAGCAGTATAAGAGCAGACATCTACTCCAAGACCCATCTTCTTCATCAAGTAAAACAGTTGTAGAGCAGAATAAGTCTGACCAGTCTTACACAACACCCAAAGAATTGGATTCAAAGTGTACAACCCAAAAAACCGACCTTAGCAAGACAAGAAGAAACCGCGGAATACCCTTCCCTAGTCATTCCACTCTTGCTAAGCATACAAATCAACAGATTGAAAGATGGCTCTGTAGGGACATAGTCCATCATCAACAAAACATAAAAAAAACCAAGGCAATCCGTTAAACTATTCAACTCAAGACATTTTTTCAACCACCTGGACAAAACTATGAACGATGGAAGGAACCCACTAGCAAACATCCGGCCCAGAAAAAAGAAAGCAGGTTTGAAATTCCCAGATACCACCAGGCCATTAACGACCAAAATTAAAAGTCACGGCATTTGGTGCCTACTATCTCAGTGCTTTCCATCATTCCGAGACAAGCTTCCAGCAAACCACCCGTGAAACGATTCCCACACTTTAAATAACTGTGCACCAAAGGATTGAAATCAGAAACGGTTGGTTTGCCGGGGAAGCTCCTCATCAAATTCCAAGTACACAGAGCTTGCGGGAGGTCGGCTGACGCGGCGTGCCCTCGCATTCCATGTTGCAACTCTTCGTAACTGGAATTGGCGGTTGACTCGTCTTCCCTACCAGCATTGAGTTTTTGCAGAGCACAAGAAGAAGAAGAGAAATAAGCAAGCTTGGGGAAAATGACGGAGGAGTATGAGCCAAGTGTACGCCTGAATAAGCTAATTATAGAGTTTGAGCATAAGGGCATTGCCGCGGGAGAGGAACCAGTTGAAGTTCGATGACATGGAAAGTTCGGTGAGGAGCGCTGGAGCTCAATTTAGTTATCCTCCTAACATGATTTTTTGTTAGGAGATACTAACAAGGCCGGATGGGCCTCCACGCCGCCAAGCCACCATCCATCGGTGGAGGAGAAAACGCGCCAGCATGTGAGGGAGGAGAGCTGAGTCCATCGGCTTGGCCAAGCCCACTGGAAAGAAAATAGGGCCCGCCGGGCCCCCAAATTCAAAAAATTCCAATTTTTTATACCCAAAACCCTCCCGCATTTGTTCTTTCTCCACCATTCAATATTTTCCCTCTCTCTCTAAAAACAGTTCGTTCCCCTCTCCCTTTCCTCACCCGATCCTGTGTGTGACGACATCGGCGACTGCGACGGTGGTGCGAGGAAACGACGACGACTGCGTTGGTTCTTGTCGAGGGCGACTTTGACTGTAGCGGCAAGAACGACGGTCACGGCAGCTGCGACGGCGGCTTTGACAGCAGTGCGACGGTGACGGCAGCGAGACAAGGACTATGGCAATAAGGTATGCGTCTTCCCCTTGCTTCATTCGTACTTAAAACTGTTAGATTTCATAGATTCGTTTAAGGTTTTGCATGGATAGTATTTAGGGTTTTATGGATTAGGGGTTTTGGATGGCTCGGCTTGTTAATGGTTCGTTGGGGTTCGTCTGGATGCTTGGGATTCGTTTTCATGGTTGTGTGATTCTTTGTTTTTGGTTTAGTGTTCGGTGGGGTTGATGGATACGAGTGTTGACGGGTTTGGGTATTACCCTGGTGTGCATGGCTACGATTTTGGGTAACCCGGTTTTAATTTTTGTTGATTTGATTGGATCGGGGTTGCTTGTGTTTTGGGTTTTGTGTATCTAGGATCTGATATTAGTTCTGTTCAAGCAGGATATAAGTTTTCATTTGCATGTATATCTGTTTGGTATATCTGGATATTCCTACGTTGATATTGGTTTTGGTCGAGCTTGATATCAGTTGTGAATTTCCTTGATAGTTGTTTGACGAATGTGGATATTCTACTGTGCAGGGAAATCACAATGGAAAGAATTAAAGCTACTGCAGCAAGGAGGACCAGAACAGAAGGCGAAACCTCGAGGCCTAAACGTGCTAAAAAACAACAGCAAGATGAGGAAGAAGAATTTGATTTTGAGGATGCAGAAATTGAGCACGAAGACAGTGATGACCAAGAAGATGAGGAGGAAGATGACTAGGACGAAGAAAATGATGAAAAAGTTGCTGAAGGAGGAGGAGGGCGCCAATACAGATTTCGCTGTAGCACCAAGAAGGTGATATCGATTATAAAATACTGGAAGCAAGATCCACGGTACTATCAAGCTTGCAAGAGAGAGATCGAGAAGGCAGGATTTGGAGACCTATTTAAACTTCGGCTGGCCAATGTTCCTAAGGAGATGTTGCCTACCTTGATGGCACATTACGACATGTGCACCGAAAACTTCATTTTTTTTTTTGAAGGTGAGAACAAGAAGGTGCTCACCTTTTGTTGTATGCTTATTGAATTATTTATTGTATGCTTGACCTTCTGGCTCATTGCTCTTTGTTCATCTGACCCACAACAGGTGCTCACCATCCAAGATGAGGATGCTGCATGTGTATACGGCATTCCTCTTGGTGGTGCTGAGATTGACCTTGTGAAGGCTAATTAGTCGATGCTTAAGGTTCTGAAGGAGTGGTCATGTCTCCCCAGAGCTGAAGGTAGAATTGTCTGTTACCAAGGGAAGAGAAGTTGCTGCTAGGGCGAAGGGACAAATGATGAAGTGGGTTAATGGGGATATCCACTTCTTGATGGTAAGTTATAGTTTAACGTAGTGTATATTTGTTAGCATTCTTGGGATATTAGTTATTTTGATACAAGGTATCTGTTTAGCATGACTGGGTACTAGTCTGGGCTGCCTGGATAATGGTTGTTTTTTATTGGTATATCTTTTCTAACAGACCGTTTTTTTGTGGCTTCATTTGATGGACTCCCTTAAGGTCAGAGGATTTGCCACAAATACCATCCCCAGCTGCAGCTATTAGGTAGAACCAAGGGTGGATAACCTATGTTTGGCTGTCCCCAAGGCCGAACTATATGATGTGGCTCCGGTGTTGTTGTCGAGATAAGAAGTCCGATCTCGCTTCTTTCCCAAACGTGTCAGGAGGGAGTGGGAATCAAGAACAAGCAGCTCAGCTACTCCTATAGCTTCTCCGTAGTTCTACACGACGAAATGGTGGGAGGAAATAGACCTGGAATCCCTTGAGCCCGACGATGTATGTAGATGATTGTCTTTTAAACTAAAAATCATGGGTTAGTAGACATGAATGCATGTAGTAAACTAATTTTTTTGCAACGTATGTGTAGCTTAAGGCACTTCAGTTCTTGACTGAAAAAGTGATGCATAAGTGGGATTCATGGCGGGAAAGTGTTCGAAGGGTTGCCATTAAGCGTCAGCAAGACAAGAATTGAACTTTGCATGTTTCTTCTATTTAAGGGGTTGTAATGTTTCTTGATAGGATGTTATAATTGCCATGTTGGAATGGCTTTGAACAATAGTTGTATCGAACAAAGGTTTGTTTTATGTTGATTTTGGATATTGGTGTGTATTGGTTTTAGATATTATTTATGAATTGCATGAATGACAGTTGTTTTTATAACGGGTAGTAGTTATTTTCAATCTGGATATTTTTGCTTTATGGATATTGTAATGAAAGCACAGGTTAATAGTTCCTTAAAGCCTAGTTACTACATAAGTAGATAGTAGTCTGGGCTTTCTAGATTCTAGTACAAAACTTTAGGATATTAAAACTTTCACAAGCAGATATTAATATGTGATTTCTGGATATTCATTGCTTAATTGTTAGATACTTATCTGGGCAGTCTGGATAATAACGTTTAAATGCTTGCACCCGTTTTCCCGCTCGACTTTGTGGGTGCTGAGCCTACAGGAATCGGGGCAGATTCGCAGTATTTTCTTCCTCTTTGGTAGCAGAAGCAAAAGCAAAAATGGAAGAGGAGGTATTTGTCAGGGAGGAGGAAGATCCGGTAGTTTTCATGAAGAGGAAGGTTAGTCAAGGTACCGTGAGAGGCAACAACATGTTTAGCCGCATGTACTCCAGGAAAGGACGTAAGAAGACAATGCTGCTAGTTGTTTAGGAGTTGGAGGTGCCAACCTTTACATCAACAGTTGATGACGTGGTTGAGTTAGTCGTTAAGTCGACTGTTGGATAAGTGGTGGAGTCGGAGTCATTTCTTGAGCCCGAGGTGATGGATACTGTTGTTGATCCGGTAGTTCAGCAGTCTTCGTCGCCGGCCATTATGTTTGATCTGGTAGTTCAGCAGATGAAGTCGTCGACCATTGTGTCGACTTTTGATCAAGTGGTGGAGTCGGAGTCAATGGTCCAGCCTATGGTCATACATTATACTGACCCGGATACGACATTCCATGATGTGATGCACATTGCTTTCCAAATCACTGTTGCTGTTGAAGAGAGTATCAGGACATCTCCGACTACGGTAATATTTCCCTTACCAGTAGATACTAGCCTGGGCATCCAATTTCTTCGTTTCTTTTTTTGTGGATACTAGCCTGGGCTGCCAGGATATTCGTTTCTTTTTCTGTGGATACTAGCCTGGGCTGCCAGGATATTCGTTTCTTGTTGAGTAGATACTAGCCAGGGATGATGGTCATACATTTGGTAATGTTTTGTAGATACCTGTCAAGGCAACTGATGCTGCTCAACATATCCGACTACGGTGGTCGATCCTTCTACTGAGGTGCTGACGCAAGGAGAAGCACGACCATCAGAGGAGGAGCTTATAACAGCATCATGTGAGAGAATGGAGGATAGCGACGATGATATTATAATATGCGAGAGAAGTAGGACTGAGGAGGAGGCAGATTTTCTGTACTCTATCACAGCGGAAGCATGGAAGGAAACCCTAAAAACTCCAGAGTTTGAGAGGTCAAAACACCACCCATTCGGCGAATCAGTGTACGTTCTGCCAAAGAATATGTTGACAAAACTCGATGATCGACTCTGCAAGTGGTTGAGTTCATCTTCAGTGCCACTGCTAAAGACGAGTAAGTTGTCATGTTAAGTTATTTAATCACCAATTTCAATCTGTCCAACACAGATTACTAACCTGGTTTTCATTTGTGTTTTACAGTGGAAACTATGTCGTGGATACTCCAACCAGTAACTTTACCCGTTACTAGCTACTTTCATTGAAGCGTAAAAATTGGGTGCATAGCCAAGTACTTATAGTATACGGGCAATTCCTAAATGACAAAGAAGTACGCAAGGAGGTGGTGAAGAGAATTGTCTTCCCATGGAGCTATGTAGTAAGTATTATCTTTACTACTTAGATCCTATTTATATTGAAAATGTCTAATTTGATATTGTTGTCTCTTCTAAATAGCAACATGTCGTCAATAATGCCATCAGAAAACAACCCATGGACAAGGCGAGACTCCCTGCGGTAAATTTATATGCACAAAAGGAATCCAATGTTGAAATGGGAAAACTTGAAAAGATGTGATTGCGTAAGTGTTTTCAATGTCTGGGTTTTTTCCCCTGATTTCCCTTGATATTAGTCTGGGTTTATAGGATATTATTTTGGGTTGTTTAGATATTAATTTGGGTTGTTAGGATATTAATCAATGATGAACTCACTAACTGCTTTGTGTTTCAGATCTTCTTTCCAATGTATCTAAATGATCACTATCGGGGTGTACGTGGCTGACATGAAGAATATGAAGACTTTCCTACTCGACAGCCAAAAGCCTAATGCCTGAGTGGCTAAGGAGAACCATGGACCAGTTGGGAAAATGATTTTTGGGTATGCGACAGCGTTCCTCAAAGAGCAGGGGGTCGATTATACATTAAATGAGTGAGCTATGGGCGGGTCACCTTCTAGTGGAATATAAAGCAAGTTGGCACAAGTAGCCACATGTGGAGGAACAACGAGCACGGATTGCAGCCAGCCTCATTTTATGGGACTATAACCTCCATCTCGATGCAATAATTCAAGGTGCAAAAGATGGAAATACTTAGAAAGAGAAAGGGAAAAGGAAGAGAAGTTGATTTTAGATTTGTGTAGTGTGATATTGGTTTGTAAAACTGAACTTAGGGTTGGGTATTATTTAGGGATGGATGCTATTTAGGGTTGGATAATATTTAGGGATGGATGATGGTTTGTAGCAGGATGGAGGATATTTTGCCAAATGTTTGATATAATTACCAACATAAGTTCTGATTGAAAAATATATTGTAACCTCCCATGTAAATATGTCTTTTTGTAGACTAATATCCTTAAAGCAAAGACTAATATCCTTACAGCCAAGACAAATACCTGCTTTATTTGGACTAATATCAGCAAATCTCAGACAAATATCCTTAAGACCTAGACAGATACATGTCTTCCAGTAGACTAATATCAATAGAGCACAGACTAATGTCCTTAAGGCCCAGACCAATACCCTTCTTTTTGTAGACTAATATCCTTGGAGCCCAGACTAATAGTAGATAAAGATGGATGGCACTTTGAATCAGAAATATAAACAAACTCAACACAATACAAGATGATGACAGGATATACTAATTCATTTCCTCACGGTCTCCTCGGTGTTATCTTCATCATCCGAATCTGAAAAGGCGGGGAACATTACTTCGTCCCAATCCATGTGAAAACCACACCCCTTATCATTGTCATACTCGTACATCAGACATCGGAAATACCTCTTCAGTGGGTTGACTCCATCAACAACAAGTTGTCTAGCGGCTCTCCAACCATGGTACAGAGCATAGCACCATCATATTCAAACTCATCCACCAATCTCCGGCGCGTTGGTTTAGGAGTCTCTCCAGACATGGATTTTGCTTTGGAAGAGAAGAAGAAACTGAGGGAGGAGGATAGCCGATTTGGGTTTGTGTGTGATTTGTCTTAAATAGACAAATGGTCATAGGGAAGTACTCTAACAACATGTCATTAGAGAATAGAAACAAAAACCCTCACATGAGTACAGTAACAAAAAAGGTCACATGTGAATAGTGAAATAAGTAATAATTGGTACTATTGAACCTGCTTTTGAAAATACTGATATCCAGGAAGCCCAGACTAATATCGATACATATTAGACTAAATATCCAATTCGCCCAGACAAGTATCTTTTACAAGTGGATTAATATCCACATCATCACAGAAAAGTATCCTGGAATCACCTGTCAATATCATATCACAATAGACCAATCTCGAACCACCCTACATTCTATTCATAACCATTGAGTAATATTATCATCCAAATCACTAAGATGGTCATCCGGTTGAGTATTGTTGTCCGACGTGACCACTTCAACTGATTTCATTATATTCCTATAGACACGTTTCTTTCGCGAGGTTCCTTTCATTCTTAGACTGATAACGTTCTTTACCTTGGCTCCTTGGATTACTCTTCTCCTTCAAAGTCAACCCAGTTATCGGTACAGTCCATCCTACAATGTTAGAGAATTTAGTAAATGCAATGATATTAAACTCTAATAATTTACAAATGATATTAGTGAATACATTTACTGTCCTTGCTAGTTATAGTCTTTGACAATGCCTTGTTTGCCTCATTGCACAGTTTCTTGAGTACTTCCATCCGCTTATTGTAGTCTTTCTCATCGGCCATCGACAGGTTCGTTGCTAGCTGATTCAACATTGCAGTGGTTTCTTGGTACCGCATTGCTATACCTTTTCCCGCATCATTCTCACTAGCAGCTGAAGGACCAAAAGAACCATCGACATCAACAACCTCTTTCTTTCTCGCCTCCAACGTCTATCGCTTGAGTATGTAATGATCTGGAATACTTCTCATACTGGCTTCCCCAAAATCTCCAAGAAGCCGCATCACCTTAATCATGTGGTGGCATAACACTCCGAAAGTTCTGAACATCCTGCATGCGCATACCAATGTCCTCGTAGAAATATCGACGAGAACGACACGCTCATCACTATGCTCACCATCCTTTATCATGTATGTGTGGTAGCCAATCATCCCTAGTATCTGAGAGTGTCTCCATTGGATAGGATTCAGTTTTCAAATACTGCTCATGTATCCGATTGAAGATGTTAGGAGTAAAGATATTTGCAGCATGTTGTAGGATCTGGCTATGCTCCAACATTATATAGGGAACCGATTGTTTCCCATTGTAGTCCGATTTAGTCTCATTGCGTCTTTTTTCAGCCAACAAACTACATTTAGAAAGCACGAGAAAAGAGTTTAGTGCACAGACTAATATCCACTCAGACCAGTACTAATATCCCACCAACACAAAGTAATATTTAACAAAACCATATTAATATCCAGATGACACACACAAATATCCAGACCTAACAAGCTAATATCAAAGAAAGGCAAAGAAATATATTGCGTACGTACCTGCTAAAGTGAATGAAAAAGAAGTCCAAATCATGCCTCGGTTTCAAGAAAGTCGCACTTGTGCATTGCACGACTCGATGGCTTGCGTAGTCAACATCCCGGCTGTGAATTGATCTCTCAACCATAAGGAACACCATCGATGATGAAATTTCTTCAGATATTCCAACCATGGGTGATCGTCCTCAATTTCGCTATTAGGGAAATAATCAGCAACCATTGTGCTCCATGCCATGTCGAACTCTCCCTCACTGTCGATGTGGTAGAAAATAAAAGAAAGATGAGTTTGGAACTTCTTCCAAAATGCCTTGTCCTTACGAAGATTCTTCTTGGCATTAATGAGAATGTGCCAAGTACAGAGGGCATGAAACACAGTAGGCCACTCCTTTCTAAGCGCAGCTGCCATGGCGGCGTCCTGATCAGTAAAAATGGTGGCTAGCAGCTTTTTCTTCATGCATCGACTAAATGCAACAAACAACCATTCAAAAGACGGTGTAGTCTCATCATACATCAAACAAGCGCCAAACACACAAGTTTGACGGTGGTTATTGAAACCTAAAAGCATCCATACACAAGACAACTATTAATGAAAATGCATAACCGAACGAGTGTCCAAAAAACTCAAGTGAATTAGGTGATTACTCTCCTACTATTATTGTTTCATAGGCCTTCGGCCCATGGGCTCTCGACGGGCAGCCCTAACTAAGGTTGCAAGTCTTATGTGTTAGGACTTGATAGTGTGCCAACACATGTCAACAAATATCTGTAAAGCGCAGATTAGTATCCCATAATGGCGGACTAATATCCGTATTGTTACAAAAGCATATCCTGTCATCACATGTCAATATCGGATCACAACAAACCACTCTCGAACCACCCTACATTCTATTCATAACCATTTCTGTAATATACGTACAAACATCCATGCACAAGACAACTATTAATGACAATGCATAACCGAACGAGTGTCGAAAAAACTCAAGGGAATTAGGTGATTCATGTACCCAGTGGACAGAAGTATGTATAGGTTCGGAAGGTGGTATCAAAGGAGACCGAATCTCCAAAAAACGCAAAATCTTCACGCATCCTACTGTCCGCCCAAAAAATATTAGCAAATTTCTCCTCGCAATCTTCCTCTACAGCATAAAAGAAGCCAGAATGCTTGTCCTTTTGGTCCTCAAAGACGTAGTCAAGCAAATAAGTCGCTTCGCCACGAGTCATTTTCCTTTGCCTTTTACTGTTCAAGTGGTTCTTCTGATTGGATTTGGTAAAAGTCATATTCTAATAGCCACCAGCACAGTCAGCCAATAACTGATAGGATGCACTAAGACTCAACCCGGTATCGCGATTAACTTCGGCCATCTTTCTCTGAGCATCACTCATGCACTTGTTGGACTTGTGCAAGTGCATATTCTAGGTAGAGTGCAAATCATTACTGTGGGCTTTTATGAATTCATACACCACAAATCCGTCCCTAGCAGCATCCCTTCGAAAACGAACACGGGCGGTACATCCATCCCTAACTCGAGACCTCTTTCTTTTAGGGCACCTTCTCTCCACAACCTTGTCTTCCGACTGTCTCTGTTCGTCCACATTGACATTTACTTCGCTAGTGGAAGTCCAACCTTCCTTATTACAAAAGTAATAAAGGTACAAATAATTTTTCTCCACCACTCCTTTAGAATTCTTCCTCTTTTTTAGGTGTTCCCCATCTATTAGAACACCAAACCCTTTTTTTGTGAGCATAGCGTTTATAGAAATCCAAACACTCATCCTTAGTGCGATAAAAGATGTTCTTCCTCGCTTCCTCGTCTTCTCGGTCCAACGTGTTATGAGTTAATG